TCTAGATGCATATACTAGTATATATATATGGCTCTGCTCTTGTCTATCGTTTCCTTTTACCAAGTCTGTTAGGGACTAGTTGTTGTTGTTTTTAGTCTTCTTGTTGTATTTTTGTTGCTGTTGTTGTGTTGTTGTAGTATTGGTTGTTGTGTTGATTGTTCTCTTACGTTTTGTGCTAATTTTGTCTATGTTCTGGCTTTATTTGGATTCTTTTTACTGTAGCTTTTTTTTATTTTGTTATTTTTTTAATTTTTTGAGAGATCGTTGGAAAGAGTCTTTTACAATTATAAATATTAATATATAAAATAAACCTACTCTACAATAGTAATGCTTACCCTAACCCTAACTATAAAAAAAATCAATTAAAAAAAATAAGATTCTAACAATTTTTTATTACACAGCAAATCAGCTCAACTGTTACAGATCAAAGTAGTTTTTAGATCAAGTTAAACTTGACCTAGGTCAAATTAATCAATTAAAAAACCTGGTCAGTATCACATTATTTTGGCCCACTCTAACTCTAAAATTCTGCTAGAGATCAATTTGACCAGGTCAAGTTTAACTTGATTTAAAAACCAATTTAACCTATAATATACATATGTACAAATATATGTATGTATTACTTTGTGAACAACTGTACTATTTCTAAACCTGGGTTATTGTTACACATTACTGCATTATACTGTTAAAATCTGTAAAGAAGCATGCATATACTGTTAATCAAACAGATAAATTATACTGTAACGGTATATCTTTTCATTACATAAGCAATAGCAATAGATATTTGTATTTCTAAATTAATCACATAAAACAATACACAAGATCTAAAACCAGATTCAAACTTATGTCCCATTTACTAATTGCCTTTTTCTAGATATGTCATAATATTATGACCTAGGTTCTTACAATGGCTACAATAATTGCACTTTCGTTTGTTAGATAAGCCTTTTGTATCCTTAGATTTTTATTGATTTTGCTTATTAGATGAGCTTCTTGTATCTTTAGACCTTGGTTGACTTTGGTTATTATAATGTGTTGATACCTTTGATTTACCTTTAGTAGCAACTTTTAGCAGATTCCTAAGTTTGAAAGCTGGAACATTCTCCTTACTTGACTCATTATTTGACTTGTTATTTGACTCGTTACTCTCTGAATCAGTTATTTGAATTTGGGTAAACTCCTTTTTACGTTCATACACATTAAACAGATAAGTCTTAATCATATAAGCAAACTTATTATCTTGATACAGTAGACATTTACTCATTGCTTTACGTACT